TAACCTAAAAATCTTTATGTATACGTGTGTTGCCACCTCACTGCTCAGAGCCCCTGCAGATCATTAATCAATAATGTGGCAACAAGACAGCAGAAGAACCCAGACAAAGCGAGCACAGTGCTAATTACCGGGAGAAAGTCTTGCCATTTCGTGGCATGCTTTGGTTTTCCTCTTCTTGCCAGCTTTTGATTCATAAAAGTACTTTGTCTCTTTGCAGTGATTCCTGATCTTCTTTGATCCCTGTGTTCTGAAATATTAGCATCCAGACAGCATTCTTGTATAACAAGCGCTGCTTTGGACACTGTGATCAGCATAAGAGGAAGAGAGAGGATCTCTTCTGTGGGCTGCTGCTTTGGTTCAGTATGCAGGAGATTATCCTCTTGCTGATGCAGGCTGGCAGCACTAACAGAAGTGATTTCTGAGATGTGATTTGCAAAACAAGTGTATAAATACTTTGAAGCCACAGCAAACTGGGCAACAGAGCTGATAAGTCTGTCCTTTGCCAAACTGAAGACATACCTCTACCTCTGTTCTGACTCCATGCATACTGTGCTTGGGTATGACCCCTTCTTCTGTCCAGCAAGAGAGAAAATTCACATGTGAATCAATTTAGAGTGAGGGCATCACGGTGATAACAGTGCCATACAATATGAATGCACCTTCCCTGGACTGGCTGGCTCTGTGTCTCCCCAGCTTGGCCCCTAGCACATTGGGAGCCTGCAGCTGAGCTGAGGAAGATGAAGCAGGAAGGGAATACCAGGCATAAAAGATTGTCCTGGGCTTCCCATCTGGGGGGATACATTAAGCTTAAGTCAGCACTGAATGTCATGTCTTTATTTATCTTACCATAGAATCAGCCCTGAAATGCTGATACTGAGTGCTCATAATGTGCTGAGCCTGTGCTTTTAGGAGGATGGAAAGGGAAAAAATTGCTGCACTCTCCATGTTTCGTGACATGCTGTCCTTTTGCACAGAGTTGCCGGGATGTCTTGATCCATAGGAGGTACTGAGATTCCATGAAGGCCATAAGGGAAAATGTAGCTCTGATGTTCCTTGGTTTCCATCTCCACCCTCAGATTGTAACAATGGACGCTTGCCACATACCTGTTTTGTCTGCAGGGAAGACACCAGCCAGCAAGTAAATGTGGAGGATGCAGTCACGAAGCCTTGAAAAGCACCCATGGCAGCTGCCCCCCAATGCCACCTTCCACCTCCCCTTGCTGCTCTCCCAGCCCCAAACCATTGGGCTTTTGGCTGGTTTTGCCCACAGCAGAGCCCTTGGGACAAGGCTGCTGGGCAGAAATGCAGCCCAAGTGCCTCTACAAAAGCTTTCCTGGATATCAAAACACTGAAATCCACCGCTCTCACCTCAGGTGATTTTTATTTCATCGGGGCTACAGCCAGGCCCATGTTTATCTAAGCAAGTGGCTGTTAACCCTTCACCTGTGGTGCTTCCCTGTGCTCAGTCCCCACATCCAGCCCAGCACTGCCTGCACACATCTCTGCACACCCCACGGGAGCTGGGGAAGATGGGGGACACCAAGCCAAGCTCCTCACACCCTCATGCAGCAATGGAAACACGCTGGGACCACAAAGCAGAACTATCCCCTGGCCCAAGCTATGAGATTCTTGGCCAAGGGAGACCACAGCTCTGCATTTCCACTTGGACCAGAAGACCCCCCTTCAGGCAGCCTTACCCAACCCTTGCCCTCACACACATTAACCTTGAGACCCCCAGTTCTTTCCCTGGTCTCTGGCAACAGCCGGGCTACCCTTCAAGCCAGCTTTGCCGTCAGGGATCGCAAAGAGAAGGCTACCGAGAAGTGCAGTTGCAGACTGGGAGAGCTCAGCCTTTGCCCAGCAGAGGCCAGCACAAACGCAGTATTTCGGCAGGCTGTGCTCGCAGGGAAGTGGTGTCTCTTTACCTGACCTTCCCTGATTAGGAAAGAACCTCTCGTCTCCTGCGAGCCCTTATCTCTATACTGCTTTGAGAGGGCTTTTCAGTGATGGGCTTTGTAGTGCAACAGGAAGGCACGGACATCATACTTGGGTAGGAACAAGGTGCCCAGACATCACCCAATTTCTCTGCTCCTGTGCCCAGAAGCATCCCTTTCCCTTGAGCAGCAAGCAACGAGGTGCTCCTGGAGACTGGGCATGGCCAGAGAATACTCCCACGACGCTTATACTCACACGATGCTTCAGAAATGCCAGAGGGCGTGGAAATGAAGTTCAAAAGGAGAGTGGGAGGAGACAATCGAAAGCAATCAGGGATGACTGCCCTGGCCACCACCCTGCCCTTTGCTCCTCATTCCAGCTCATTAACAGTTCATTTGCTAACATCAGTGAGGGCCACGCCAGGAGATAGGCACTTGGCTACTTAAAAATCCAAACTAGCTGAGTGAGGAGCCTTGAGTAGAGGCCGGGAGCCTGGGAAAGAGAAGCAAGAGACAGCACCAGTACAGAAGTGATCTCCTCACACAGCCTGAACAGCCAGCTTGTGCAGCTCTGCAAATAGCCCTCGGAAAATACCTTTTTCTCAGCAACAGGTTGAAAGGGCTGGTGGCCCTCAAAGGATACATTGTCCCTTGTTGCTTGGGTGCTAAGGTCAGTCTCTCAGGGGAACCATTCTTCATAACAGAGAGACCACATCCGAGACATCTAACAATCACCAGAAGTAACCGAGAGGTCAAAAACCACTTGAACCATGCAGACATCTTCTCTGATCAGGTTTCTGAGAGCAAGACTGGGCAAAGTCAAGTCAGATTGGAAGATGTGTCTCTTAGCACCAACATACACCCTCAGTGTTTGGCCGAAATGGCTGAGAACGACGTTGCTTGGAGACCTTTTGGCTCACAGTTACCCATGCAGAGGAAGGGCACCCTTACTGATGATGCCAAGACGATTGTTTAGATTCTGGCGACGATGTTGTTGCAAACCTGTCTCCCAGTCTCACCACTTACCACTTATTTTCGTTCTGAGTCGCAGAAATAAGTCTGAGACGTTACCAGTGAGTAGTCTAGCAATTCTGTGGGCATTATGCAGAACCCCACCCAGCCTGCAGGATCTCAGACTTTGACAGCTCTGCAACAAAAATATGGGCTTCGTGTCTGTGTGGGCTTAGATGATACATATACATCAGGGTAGGGCCTTCTTTATCTGCAGCTAAAACCAAGCTTAGCTTTTTATAGCCATAGGAAAACACAAAGGTTGCAGCAAGGATGGCGGTTTCTCGGAATTGTAGCCAATGCTGTGTTTTAAGTCAGTGCAAACTTTGCCGGGACTCTGTTGCATCTTCCAGTGAGGAGCATGAGCCTGCAGTGCCTTGCACAGCAAAGCCCAAGCAAAGTAGCTGTAGTTTTTTTCCTCTGATTCTGTGCAACCCAGGAAGTATGGGAGCATCAGAGCCCTAAGGGCAAGTAAAAAATCCAGGAGCAAATGCACCAGAAGCTGAAGGAGCAGAAGCAGAGCCTGTGAAAACACGCTTCTCTAGAGCTGCAGCCAGTTGTGTCTCCTGGCTTAAAGAGCCAAATCCCAGAGAAATGCAAAGGAAGAGCCTTTGTCACCTGAGTGGCTCAAAGAATGGCCTGTGCTCTTGACGGCTACAATGATGGGCCAAAACCCATCTGGAAATATGCTATTTCCCTGTGCCTGAAGGAAGGGTATCTGCAAATTGGGTTCATTTCTCGATTAAAACCTATGTCAGCAACACTGCTTGTGATACCCTATGCTGAAAACATTGCAGCTGATGCTCCTCGGAGATGGCAGCAGTCCTGAGCCTGCTGGCAGCTGGGCTTCAGTCTTGTGTCTAGAGTGGGGCTGATAGGTGGACTGCTGGCTGGTGGGGTGTTCAGTGCAGAGACCACCTGTATGGACCAGCTTGTGTTTCCACTACACCGGACCCTGCAGAATTACTCTACTCTTCACAGATCTCTCAGGTTTCATCTGCATGAGGTAGTGCAGCAGCCTCTTGTGTAGCTGGAACTGTTGGAGAAGGGGAAACAGCACAGGCTGCAGCTACATGCCTTATAGCAGAGTGCCTTGGAGCAAGGGTCCTGCTGGGTCCTGCACACCCCAGCACAGCATCACCACCCTCTCCACACTGCCATGCTCCTGTGCTGCTGATCAAGCTGAAAGCTCCACCAGCCCACCAAGACCCACACGTGAGGTGACATGATAAGGCAGTGCACCTCCACACATGCAAGGGGAGCACGTGGAAGTCTGGCCAGCAGCAGCTGGGAGCTGAGAGGGTCAGCACAGAAGAGACCTGTGATGCTACATGGCACGTCAGACTCCTTAGCCAGGTCCAACCCTATAGCAAGGAGAGACCCATCTCCCTGAGGGACCCCATCACCCCACAAACCATTGCTCCTCAGCCTGCCCACCCCATGCACATGAGCCTCCCTTCTAAATGTGGGGCTCCAGCTGCTGGCCCTGGATTAGACACCAGCACACACAGGGCTGTTCCCTGGACTTCAAGCTCTCCCCTCGTGCTGCCTGAGTCCTCACTGTGTCATGCCAGGCCTTAGCAGTGGCTCACGTCCTATTTTGGAAACAAAGACAACAAATGCATTTTCAATCTTTATTTTACAAAAATAAACCAGTTTTGCCCTGGTACTCTGTGGCCCCCAACCTTCTCCTCTGCCCCTGCTCCAGCTCCTCTCCCTGGAGCTCCAGCTGTTGTGTGCCGCTCCCAGCTGTCCCCATGGTGGCAGGGCCAGCCACACTGCTCCTGCCAGCATCTCCAAGGAAGCACCGGGGAAGGGGGTTGGTGATCTTTTGCAAGTGCCTCTCCTCTTCCCAGGATCCAAGCTGGAAACCGCCCGAAGATGCCTCCTGGTGGCTCTGCCATTTCTGCACAGGGAGCAAGTCTTAGGCAAGTCACTCAGAGTACGCACTTTGAGAAGGGGTGTCTGTCCCTCCTCCTTGGGTGGAAAAGCGAGCCCCACGAGGTTTGTTCTTGCCATCGGTGGAGCCGGCAGGCTGCTGTCCCCCTGGCCGGCTCAGTGCTGGAAGCGTGGGGAGCTGATGTGGGGCTGGTGGAAGGAATGTGTGGCATAAAGCACTT